AATATGAAAACGCAATTTGCGTAAATACATCGTTATGTGATACAATTGGCTGTATTAACTCATCGGAAATATTTCTGACATGTTCACAACAACAACAATAATAATAATAATAAAGTCGGTGCTAATTTTTTTTTGGACGCCACGACGCTCTGCGATGGATGCTCTTTGCATTGGCAAACCGATCTAACTTTAGTCCATATGTGTAACTTGTAATAGTGTTGGGCACGTTCAAAATAGACGCTGTACCACTTAAGCCTAAAATTAGACGGTGGACTACTGAAATAAAAATAATCTACCGCCGCCGCCGCCGCGACGGCAGATCCAACAACGACGTTCGCAGCATGGGAGCGGCGTGCATTTGCGACCAGATATTCGTCACTTGTTTCCTGGTTATTAGACAGATCTGCAACTGGTCGGCGAATGTCAGACCAAAAAGCTTACGCAATACAACTCAGAAAATTATCATTTTGTTCTTGGTCAATAAAAAAAGAACGAAATTAATTTAAATAAAATCTATACGTATGTAGGTGCATGTCAATTTTGCCTGCCTGTGTAGGTAAGTTATCGTCAGGAAGTTGGCAACCGTAATTCATTAATTTTGTTTTGTTTTTGTGATTTCTGGACTCTCTAGGGACAGTTCTACAGTTCCCGATGGGCTACGCTGATAGTTGTGCATTTTTAAGAAGAATAAAAAAATAAACAGCTCTGTAGTTCCTGATGGATTTTGCAGAGTTCTGAGAAACAAAATGTTTGCGCGAAATCCGAAAATTCTAAAAGATTTCTTTCTACAAGTTTTGGCTCTAGAGGGAGTACTTGCAGTAATTCTTAGGAAAACTACCCTAAATTGTATTTTTTTCACTCTGGAAGCTATTATGCATACAACGCTATAAATCACTGCCTTGTAGGGATCGTTAGTTTCTACAGTAGTATGGTTAGAACTATCCCCGTCCGAATATTTTACTTCCTTCGAGTACTGGTCATTTATTTACCCAAAATGGGATATTTGGTGAGCCTAAAAATCAATGTCTCTTACGAATAGGGAGTTTCTGGTCAGAACTGTAGTAAAAAACCCGCAATTACTACAAGTTTCCACTTCTATGTTTTTTTCGATTTCTTCTCAGAGCTATTTCAAGTACTAATAACTCTTATTCAAATTTAGTGCTGATATATTTTATAGTCACAAACTCGTAGGCCAATCTTTAGCAATCTTATTTTCCAATTAATTTTTAAGCAATCGAGGTCTCGCGAAAATACAAGAGGTCTCATCGATGCAGATCAATTTTTTATTTTTCAGAACTACAAAAAGCATCAAAAATTCTCATCATCATAAGCTCGTAAGTCCTAAGACTGGTTGGACACGCACCTCCACCCTCCTATCCTGAGCTAGTCTTTATTTTATATCGTTCTTAGGCATCAGAACTGTATTTCTGCGATATGAAGTCAGCACCCCGAAATTTCATTTTTTTTTATTTTACTATTAAAAATTCATAACCTTTGACAACTATAGAACTATTGCTAGGGATTACATAACCCACAAGAAAAATTTATGAATTTGGGGTGTCAACTCTCTAAGATGCTCATGCAACAGAAAAATTTTGTTTAGTGTTGTGTCCATAGGTCCTAATCAGGAAGATTAATGATCCACTATCAGTCCTATAGATTACTAAAACTAAATAATAGGTATGTAGGACGGAAAAAAATTTTGCTACTTTTCTGATTAAGCTTATTTTTCTCTTAAAATTTATGTCACGGTATACGTTATTTGAACAAGAATGTTAAAAAAAGCCGATTTTTTTTCAAGGTAGGTAATTTTAAGAATGGGCACTGTGCCTCGCTATATCTATACAATATGTATTTTAAAGTTGCACTTCAACAAATCTGAAGTAGCAGGTTATTAATAAAGATTTTCAAAATCTGGCATTAGCCAAAAAAAAAAAAAAAAAAA